ACCCCTGAACACAACAGATTGAAGCCAAACGCCTTTACCAAATATGAAGCTGAATTGAAAAATTCCAAATACCCAAACAACTTCAAGCAACCAATGAATGATTCCAAACGTCCAATTGAAATACAGGACATTCCGGAAGTCAACCAACCAATTACATCTGTAAATACCAGTGATGTTATGAACTATCCTTATTTGGAGTCTGAAGTTCGACAAGACAACATGGTGTCCTGTGATGATTGTGGTTTAGTATTTGATAGCATTCACGACTTACAAAGGCACATTAAAAATTGGTGTCAAGATCAGGGACCACAACCCAAAAGGATGAAGACACAGTCTACCCTGAATATGGAGGAGAATATCCCTCGAGAAGAAGACGATGATTTAAAAGAAAATGAAACATTTGCATATTTTAAGAAGTGGGCTATAGAATCACTTGAAGAGGACTATCAAGATAAATTAAAAGAGTACTTGGATAGAGGAATGGATAGAGAAGAGGCTATAGAAAAGGCAAAGAGGAAACAACTATCAAAGGTGAAGGAGAAATTTATGAAAAACTATAAACAGCTGGTTGGGTTGTCATTTGGTGTGGCAGATAATGCCTTGCATAGAAATATTGTGGATGCGGTGAATAATATGGTGAACAGAGGTGTGTCTAGGCATCTCGCCATTAAAAAAATACTTTTGAAAAACAAACACAAGTTTGATGAGCTATTCATAGATGAAACAGATGAAGAAGTTGGTTCTGAGGAAGAGGAAAGTGCATCTGAGAACGAGGCTAGTGATTCAGATGATGAGTGATAAATATCCCTGAATTTATAACAGATCTTCATTTGTGAGTGAGAAAGCTATCATACAAGATGTCATATCGAGACTATCTGAAGAAACTTTATTTTAATAGTCAGCATTCTGGAGCCTTCGCTGGTCCCGATAAATTATACAGAACTGTACTAAAAGATGGAAAATATAAGCTTTCCCGTTATCAAATAAAGAAATGGCTCGATAATCAAGAAGCCTATAGCCTGCAGCGACCTTACAAGAAGCGTTTTACTCGAAATAAAGTATATGTTTCACATATTGATGAACAATGGGATGCTGATCTAATGGACGTCTCTAATATGTCATCGCATAATGATGGAATCCGTTTCATACTTGTGGTCATTGACATCATGTCTCGGTTTGCTTGGATCAGGCCTTTACACAATAAAACTGGAAAAGCTGTGGCTGATGCATTTGATGATATCTTCAAAGAGGGGCGCCAACCAGATGTAATACGTAGTGACGCTGGTCAAGAATTTCGTGCCAGGATTGTACAAACATTGCTGGGTAGATGGGGAGTCCGCCATTTTGTTACACGTAATACTCCCAAGGCCAACTATGCAGAAAGACTTATAAAGACATTAAAGACTAAAATAATGAGATATATCACGTACAAACAGAACTATAGATTTGTAGACAATTTACAAAATTTTGTTAAAAGTTATAATGCTACTTGGCATAGGGGAATAAAAATGGCTCCTAAAAATGTATCCAAAGATGATGAACTTACCATTTGGTGGCGGATGTATTATCCTAAATCAGCTATTGTTAAAACCAAATCTGAACAGATATTTAAATTTCCTATTGGAGCCTTGGTTAGAATTACCCAGTCGAAACATGTTTTTAGTAGAGAATATGACCAGCATTGGACTGGCGAAATCTTTAAAGTTGCAAAACGTTTCATCAGACAGGGGTTACCATTGTATCGTTTAAAAGATTTTCATGATGAAGATATAAAGGGTACTTTTTACCAATCCGAGCTCCAACGAGTACAAGCAAATGAGGACGATATTTGGAAAGTTGAAAGGATCTTGAAAACACGAGTCAGACGAGGTCAACAAGAACATTTTGTGCGTTGGCAATATTGGCCTAAGAAGTTTGACTCGTGGGTTAAAGATTCAGATATAGTACCATTGTAAATATAATTGTCAAGCGTGTCCCATTAAATATGATTCGTTGTGAATAAATGAATAAATAAATATATATATAAAAACAGTGTTTTATGTTTAATTTTAATAAGATGAACACTGATTTGGTGAATGCTTAATATGAAACTATTAGCCCCCTGCCCCCTGAAAATTCAATTTTACTTACAACCCAGAAGTTATCATCCAAATGTTTACCCCCTAGCGTTAAGAAATAACCTAAATTCAACTTAAAAAATATATCAGTGGTAGAATGCTGGTCAGCCGCTCCGACGGCCCGGGTTCGAATCCCGGCGAAGGTACGCTTTTTTAAAAAATTTCTAAAATGAATATTTGTTAGCCCCGTCGATATTAGCCCCGTGACGTCATGAATTAGCCCCTAATTAGCCCCAAAAACAGCGCTCATGCCCTCATTTTGACAACTACTATGGTGTCTTGATTTGAAATCTAGATATTTTGAACACGCCCGGATATATCTATTAAACTGGGATACATAAACCCCATATGCTGGGTTTAGTGGAATATTGCTATCCAAATGTGGAAAATTAACAATGTCAAAATTAAAGTCATCTCTTTTGTCATACAATTTACAATAAATACTTTTGTCTCGTTCAATGTTAATAAGAAGATCAAGATAAGGCGCACTCATATCAGATTCATTAGTCTTTTTCAATTCTAGCTCAGTAGGATATATTTTATAGAGGTACATGCCACACATCATCATTTAATAACTGCGTATATTTTATTTATATTCGGGATATATAGGCTGAACGGTTATATAATTGGGAATGGTGATTGCAAAGCGCAGTACGTCACGTATGACCTACATCTGCAGAGAGCAAGATCTGCATGCATTATTAAAGTTCACACAGATTCCACTTTACTCGATCAACCCACAGTATTATCCAAGAATATATTGTTATGCAATTTGCACTCTTCAAGGGCACATCTGGAAAGTGACAAAGTGAGCAAAACTATTCGGTCACTTTTCTTAAAAATTGTCGCCCACTTTTAAAAAATGTTGGCCTATTTTTAAAAAATGAGCCAGATGTTGTTTGTTTCAAAAAGCCCAATTTCAAACAAAAAGTATAAAGTCGAACTAAGGCTAAAAATAAACACACAATTTCGGGCCTCAAAATAACCCAGCCCTCAAATCCGTCGACGTTCATTATGTTTTGTATACACCAAGTAGTTGTCTCGCTATTAATTGTAGGATAATTGCAAGCATGTGATCGATCAAAAACCAAATAAAAGTGATTTTCTATTGTTCTTCCTATTGATACAACTAATTACCCAATGAGGGATAAATAGCAGAAATCCTTAGTAATCGTGATACTAGAGCTTAATCCGAATTGCTGTTTCCCAGTACATCTCTTGCTAGATAACGATTTACTGATCAATGGGGCTCTTATGAAATCTCAGTTCCTCGCTTACAGTAACCATAAATTAAGGTAGAGATCTCTCGGGGAGCTATTGTGAATGTTTACATATTTTCTTAGAGAAGTTAGCTCAATATTGCACCGTAGGGCTCTTTTCCCTGTTAACGATGGACTTAATATCTCCACGTGGAATTGAAAATTGAATTATAAACAGGGATTTTTGTATAATTTAGGTGTATGGTTTATACCAGGTCTTACTCACGTCCACTTATTGCTCAAAATTGGAATGTAAAGCTCTCTTGGTATGGCAGAATTGAATGTGATAGTCCACGTTCTACAAATGCCTTATAGGCAAATAGGGCAAAAAGTCATGTATTAATAATTTTACCGCTTGTAGGTGTTTGATGTTATACGGTTATATTATTTCTAAATTAATTAAGTAAAAAACAATATCGACCTCTGCAATAATATTTTTCACATGATACCCCAGCACAGATATCAAAATATCAATTTCCGATAAAAAATAATTATACTGGATTAAATAAACTGAAAGTACCCTTTGAAAACATTCCATCAAGGCTTTGGGTCATTTATCTTTGTTACTGAGATCTCAGATGATACATTACGCTTGGAAGAATCTGTATAATATTCTTGAATACTGTCGATTCGTAAACTTTCATTTCCTCAATTAAATCCCAAAAATCGCTAACCATAGCACCATATGATGCAAATTGAAGAGATGTATGACTAACGTGGGACTTGTTTTGGAGTTTCCAATCTTTCTTTGCTGTGAAATTCATTTGATCGTGTTTCACCTCCGACTTACATGAAATTGCTATTGACAAGTTTACCAGGAGTCATATTTACCTCATATGTCATACAATTTGCATTCTGTTAGAAGAAGATCGAGTCGATTGAGCATTCATTCATACTTTTCTTGTTTTCTACAGATATAATGGGAAATGAAAGACACTATTCGTATACACGTAAACACGTACACCAACATGACCTTCCCTTAAGCGGTGGAAGATATCGTTTAACAGTGGTTCCAACGCATGGTATATGAACAATTGATAATACCCCAGAGTTTCCATGTCATACAAGTCGGGTTTAGTTCAAATATCAAAGCATTACGTCAACTATAAAGTAGTTTTATTCGATGAAAACTAAAACTATCGAAATCGACACTTCCCGTCCGCCATTTTTGATGCAAATGTGACGGTGGCCAGTGAGAATCCAAGAGCCAGCTATATGCAGGTCAATACGTATTATCAATTCAAAATGCGATTGGCTCTTGAAATATATATGTTTTGGCTTTTTGATCGCATGGTGCTAGTACAATGTCACAATCATCTACGGGATTCCACCGATGATCTCGTAATGCCACATATCTTGGTTTGTTTTCTGCTTTTCTTAATTAATTGTAATTTAAAAATAAAAACAAATTATAAAGTTCCCATTAATATATGCTGCTACTTGTATCCTATACATCTATTGGTTCCAGTCTATAGTTTCTAATATATTTCTGCATTTCAAGCACATTTGTATTGTTTGCCTAAAACAACTAAAAGGAACAATAATATAAAGAGAGAAGTTCTCTCAGTCCTAGCTTGATTTCATTTTAAATTTCATTGATAGGGTGCAGGTGGATATGGCTTACCTTTCTGAACATAGACTCTTTAACTTGATTGTTTCGAGCGTGTGGATTGTTTGCCCCTATATCCAAAGACAAAGGCGATGCCCCTTCAGTTACTAAAGACGGTTCAAGGACCCTTTTACAATCAACGGAAAATGACGTTGACGGACTGAGAGGCGTTTCTAGCGTTACGGTAGTACCAGTTGGTGATAATGGAGTCATAGCACCCATTTCAACGCTCGACGACGTGGATATACTCTCCCCGGATTTTCTTGATCTTTTTAACTTCCTCATGGCTGTTCCTCAATGACTGTTTCAGTTACAATTTAAAGAACTCTTGCGTATGTGTAATCCTGTATACAGAGATACTCAATTATACCTCATATCAGGAAATCCTTTTAATGATTCTAAATAAACAATTATTTCTCCAAAATAGTCGTGATGAATCCTCAAAGTTTATCTATATAGTATTAAAAGTAAATATGCATCAAGTTGTTGAAATCCAAACCTTTCCAACACGTATCATCCACGCCTACAAATCCTCGCCTTGGGCTTGCGGCATTGGACATTCATTTGAATCATTTCCATTAGCAGTCGTCGTTTCTAGCGTAGTAAATTGATGTCGACTTAGCATCGGCTGGAAATATCATTTGCCACACACAATAGTGAAAGCTTATATAACAAAGCTTTATAGTTAATAAGGTGAATCCTTCTGAAGTATAAGGTCGTTTTGCTCATAATATTTCTGCAACAGATGTTCCTCGATGACGTTCTCTTTCAACTAAATTCCTCAAGGGTATATCTATTTATCGGTCTTTATATACTTGAACTATTGTTTCTAGATCCTACGAAAGTTGTTCTTTTATACGACACATCGGTAATTGATAAGTCAATCCAATTTACACAACCTATTTTTTCTAAAACTCGATGATAAAAATGACACTCATTTGACAGAAAGATCAACTGTGCTTCCAGCAATGATGAGTATTATTAATAAAACTGCATTGTATGTCAGTCATCTACGATATCATGTCTCTTAGATCAATGGATCTTCGTTCTTTCCGAAGTGATTTCCTCAATACATTTGTTTAGACGATAAATAGTCCCGCCGTGTGCCCAGGCTTCGTGCCCCCTTTCAACAGCGGATTGATATCACTGACTGTTCAGTTTGTTTTCAATTCCAGTTCAATATGATTGCTTCATTTGTTTTGAATATAGGTCTCTACGAGATATCCGGATTCTCTTCATTAGAGCCTACAGACTTCCAGAAAGCGAATGCTTTACCGGCTATAACTCTAAACTAACAGTAATTTGGTCACCAGGGATTTTCCCTAATTTACCTAACGTCGGAGGTATACTTTCAAACTAATTCCAAGTAATGATACTAACCTAATTCGTGCTACATAGATCGATCATAGGTTTCACTCAATGTAGCGAAGTATCATTTATATCTGAAGATGGACTTCAAAGTGAAAATTAACCGCATTCGGTATCCGATCGTGAAACGAACTATGTATTCCTTATGACACTAATAGCGTTTACTAAAACTTGAAAAGATGCAGATCTTTATACAATTAGACCTTTTAATGGTTCTGATTGACGGTACGTTAAGTGAGGCAATGATTCACAACCGTTCTTAAATAAGCTATGTGGGACTTCGTCAACTTCAAACCGAACGGTATAGTATAACCGAAGGCGACAGTTTCTCAGCGGAATTCATTACATGTGATCCGAATTCGGTGGATTGGATTTGTTGCGTGGGCCATTTAAAATGGTTTAGAGTACTGGATAATGAAATAAATATGTTATAAACTTCACAATTATACAATCCAATGCACTCTTGGTTGATTTTCAAACTATTTATTAGTCGCTGCTTTTCCATGATATCATGTAGGATTTTGTTCACATGGATGGTTGGTAGAATGAAGAGGCGTCACCGTACGCTTTGTATGAAAGGGTTACGATTTGAGTCAAATTGTAATTAACAAAATAACTTAATTATGTCTGATTGGGTAAATCTTATTTTTCCACAATTGCAATTTTATATTGAGAAGCAATGGATATTTGGTCATTTTAGAAAACAGGCACGCCAACGAATGATTTGAACTTTCAGTAAGCACGCGGCACTCCTATTGTGCCTTTTCCTAATATGGTAATAATTCTGATTTCATGTTTCTGAGCTTATTTAGCAAACATTGTATATCCTTTAGCGTTTTAAAACGGTTAGATACATATCGCACATTGGACGACCCTATTGAAAGACGATCGTGACATCCAATATTCATGGTAAAATGCTGTAAGATGAATTCAATATGTTTTACTTGTAATTATCTCATTTGGTCAATTCCTTGGCTTTGTTATCATCGCTTAAAAATGAGACGTTAATCGGATTGATTTTTGGTCGCTTCATCGTGTCAGAGATCTGCGTTGGTGAAAACATTTGCCAATCGTTGAAATATCTTGAAGGGAAAGTCATGTAAGTAAGAAGTATGTGTAAATACTTCCCTATAAGTCAGATCAATAGGAGACAAATAGCTAATTGTTTCTCAATTTAGTTAGGTTCAGATATGCCTCAGTAAACCATCTAACATCTCGCGTGATGCCCTTTCATCAATAATCCACCAAATAATGACAGCCGCTTTTCTACAACTCAAAATTTCTAACATTATTTAGATGGCGTATTTGCTCTTAGAACCCGGTCTATCTCGTTACATATTTGTAATCTCATTCATTTGCATGAAAAAAATCAAATAAATCAAAGTTAGGACGTATTACGCCAAGTGACGTTGCAAGAGATTCCATTCCAGTTCGATAATAATCCTATCATTATATAATCTTATTTTCAAAGGCAAATAATTGTCTGTGTAGATTGATTTGTGCGACTGTGCAGTTGCAATGTACTATGATGAAAGCATCAAGTAAGGTGTATTATTTCCATTAGCAAATTGAAAGCAATGTGCAATTATTTCATCAGCTGAGAGAGATAAACTTGATACTGTTCGTCCCTAAGTTAACGTCCATTCACAGTGACCTTGACTCGCATGATTAAGATTAGTTTATTTACTTTTTTACGCAAGCATGTCCATATTGGATTACGTTTAACGAAAATGATCGTTATTCATCATGACAAAGTGCAATAATGACCCGTGAAAAATACACATAGGTTTATCAAATTTATTACGTATACATGCCTATATTGGGTTAAGTGTAAAGAAAATCAGAGCGTTATTCGTCATGACGCAGTGGATAAATGACCCCTGAAAAACACAACTAGTTATATTAGATTTATCAAATTTATATCACACGCATACTCATATTGGGTTAAGTGTTAACAAAATAATAACGTTATTCGTGATGGCACTATGCAAAAATAACGCCTAGAAGATGCCAGTTTTAGGAAGTTAATATGGAAGACAATATGTATCCTTAAGGCCCCCTCACATATGAACGAATCCACCAAACGCAGTCTTGCGATGTCAATTCTGGCGATTGGGAACGTACACATACTATTGGGAACGAATTTTACTCAATTCCTATTCGCAAGACTGCGTTTAGTTGGTTCCTTCATATGTGAGGGGGGCTTTGGCTCTAGATGTGAGTTTCGTCCCCGTTTTTCTTTTTACAAACATAAATAGATATCTTTAGCGAGCTTCGTACATCTATTGGGCAAATCGGGGCGACATCGTTTTTTGTCGGCACCACCGGGTAAGGTCTGATTCATCTTGGGGGATGGGTTGCAATCGGATTACAATCTACGGATATATACGATATGGTCTGTTTTGTTTCACACAAACAAAGCTAGGTAAACTGAAAACAAATCTCTTAAAAAGACAAAGGGCTAGTTGGTAAACGTTAAAGCCTGGAGTGTTATTGTTAAACATTGTTATAGATGTAATTAACTGGGACATTGGAATGGGAATTGCGAGACGGAGTGACATCTAAATGTTAAATGAAATAAGAAAAATAAGTTGTTAGCGACGAGTACTTCATTGATTATCAAATCGATCATTTATAGCTATTAGGAGTTGTCGTAATGACGACCTTTTCATTATCGAATTATAGCTAATCACCATTATATTTATAATGGGATAACACGAATGATAATTTAAGGAAACTAATACAAAACTAGGACGTGAGTCAGGACCGAAAGTAGCGCAATTTCAAGTCATTAATATAGCGGTTTGTCGCATTGTGAGTTTCCCATTTCTCGGGCGTTAGATAAAGATAGCTTTCCTAAAAATGACGTAATCCGTTCAAATTAGACGAAAGTAAATAAAATACTATTTTCAACCTGCTTTGGCCAAATGGTTCAAATGCAACTAACATCAACACATATTAGATAAAGTAGAAGTTTAAGCTGTCTACATCTCTTAGTTCTGTTTAGTAATTTGCAACTGCGATATAACATTTCAGATATAGAAATGAAACAAGTTTATACCTGGTATATCTTGCCTACTTCTGTTTGTGGAGAGATTTATATTACCAGAAACACGGGCCAGAAACACTTCAGAACCTAAATAACAGATATGCCTTCAGACTTTATGCAGTCTCTCCTTGAATATATTGCCTCTATTTAATTAAATGTGAATTTCTCTCAATGTTTATTCTAAGTAGAACAGGAGGGGAAGGAACCAACCTGGTTAGTAGTTATCTTTGAAAATGAGTTTGCAAAGAATGCATGTGTACAGTTTTTACGCAGTATTTCACTACAAGGAGTCGTTCACATTTTATATATCTTATCAACACAAACAAGCATGTAAATAGAAAATGTGAAATTATGTAGCTAACAAATCATATTTTTGTTATGTAATAAATTACAGAGGCAAAACATGAGGAATCGGGTTCGCTTGACTTTTGGAGAGGAGTGTACACTGCATGCTAAAACAATTGTAATAGCAGAATATGTAGATACATGTGAGAGATTACTTCTCACAAATGAAGCTGTAGTGTTCTGGGTATTACATGCGCTCTTTGATAGGCAAAAGTAAGGGGAACAAAACTAAATAGGCAAGGATTGTTGTTGGCCTTATACTATAACGAAGTAATTTTATTGCAGATACATAATTTATATACCATACTTTTTTGCCGATAGGGCAAAAGACTAAAAAGTAATTTGACTGATTTACCAACCTCTAATAGCCTTTTCTCCATCGCAATATCCAAATTCGCAAATGTATTTTCCTCGACAGTTTATTTGCAATGAAAACATAAGTTGATGGCGCATACAGTTTGAAGAACGGTCCAATTTGCAATCCATGTGTAGAATACAAGATACTGCTTTTATAGGAAGATGTACATCTGAGTAAAAAAGATACAATTATAACTCCACAGAATTTAATGTTTCGCTATCCACTGACTAATCCACGTTTTATCCGTCAGACATTTCCAAATCCGATTTCACGCAAGGCATAATCTGTTGGCCATGGCCAATTGACCATGCCACCTGGTGCTCATTAGAGGGAAAATAAAATCAACTTAGAATAGTTTCTCATGTCAAGAATATGACCAACTTTGTACCTCAAATGCAAAATCCAGCAGATTTATGAAATTAAATACCAATCAAAACTTGATTATTAATACTTCAGTGATTTCGTTTTACCGGTTAATTTGATACAGACCATGTTTTATTTCTTAAGTCTTGTTTATGTATTCTGTAAATGAACTGCCAGATACAGATATCTTCATGTTTACTTTGATAAGGATCGTGTTCTTTTTTGTGGGTGATTGGAGAATTAAAAAAATGATTATCACCCCATAACGTTATTTTCCTTTACTAGTTAGTGTCTGGTTAAGGCCCGGTCACACCGCCCGGACGTTGCTGGAGCGTTCCTTGAACGTTGAAAAAATTCATCAACGCTCGTCAACGCGCACAAAATGGGGGAAAAAACAAAAACACGGGCGTTGGCTTAACGGTGCACCGCTGAAGCCGGCGTTGCTTTAGCGTTGGTTAAGCGGTTGCGAGCGGTAGCTAGCGTTTGTTTAGCGGTAATGCGAGCGTTGGTATAGCGGCGTTCTGCGCATGAGAGCGTTGCCTCGGCGGGGGTATAAATAGCAGCAGCGTTGGTTTAGCAGCATATCGCGTTTGACTACTGGGAAATTATTTCAAGTGGGAAGTGTTTAAGAGTAAAGACCTTTATTGAATTTGTAACTTTAACAAAAGTCCTTCAAGGATTAAAGAAGAAATGTTTTAAATCTAAAGTGCTTCTATCTAAAGTGCCTCCCCTCCATAAGTTTGGCAACCTTTTTTCTCCATTGAACTACGTGTTAAAGCCTCTTTACGTTTGAATTTTTATTTACTTAACCGGCGATGAAATAACTTATAATATTGATGGAAACGTAACTTGACTTTATTTCCAATACCTCCAAATTTTCTCAATTTTTTTCGTCAATTACAATAGGTCGAAAATTGATGATAACTTTGATGAATTTTTGAAAATCGTCATTCCCATGTAATCCAATGGGAAATGGAGGGTTCGGGGCAAATCAGAAATCAGGATATCTTTTCAGTAAAAGATTCAGCAAAAAATATTTTCATATAGAAAATTGAATTGTCTAACTTTTTTGAACACTAAGTGTTTAGTTCATTTGATGAATATTAAAGTTACAGCGCTTCAAAGTCATTTTTGAAAAGAATTTTTCACCTCCTGTGTTATTTCAATTGGAGAGGTTTTTTGAAAATCAATTTTGACTTTAAAGCCCTATAACTTTGTTGAACATGAAGAAACATATCAATTTTTTGTTAAATAAAGTTAGCAAATTCCATTACCTGCCTAACTCGTATTTTTTGCAAGGACTCGGATGGATGGATATTCTGTCATATGACTTGCGGCAAACCTACCATTTCCCATTGGTTAACATGGGAATGTCGATTTTCAAAAATTCATCAAATTCATCATCAATTTTCGACCTACTGTAATTGAGGAAAAAAATTGAGAAAATTTGGAGGTATTGGAATTAAAGTCAAATTACGTTTCCATCAATAGTATAAGTATTTCCATCGCAGGTTAAGTAAATAAAAATTCAAAGGTAAAGAGGCTTTAACACGTAATTCAATGGCGGAAAAAGGTTGCCAAACTTATGGAGGGGAGTGTAATATGACATTAAGAATGAATAACATTTCAATTTTCTTTGATAATCTCTCATATCATTTCAAACAAACATATCACAATTTAATCGTTGCATTTCCATTACTTGGAACCGATTTACGTTCAAATTGCTTTAACAATGTCAAATAACAATTACAGCAAAGTAATAATCATGACGCATGACAAATTTTTGCATTGCTGTGCGCGCATCAACTTTTTGTATAATACCATGACCATAATACCATGAGTGCAACATTTTACAAGCTGCGCAGAAAATTCACAGATAATTTATTGAATTGCTTGACGTGAAAACATTAGGTATATACTATATTTGAATAAAGGTCTTAGTAAAAGTATATTTGTATTAACATTTAATGAAAAACAAAAATCGCATAATTCACCTTTTTAAAATCCAAAATCACAAACTTTGAGCGCTTAATTTAGGAATTTACAATGCAAAAAATTGAAATGCCAGACATGAATATATATCAAATGTAAAATGCACAAGCGTCTCCACAGTGTTCTACACAGTGGTGCATTTCTCCACGTATTTATAGCCAAATTCTGGTCCCGCTCCGACACCTCTATACCAACGCCAAAGCAAAGTTCATCGCCGCCATGGAACGCTGCGACAACGTCCGACACCGTTCCAACAACCCCATGTACGCTGATAAAACGCTAACAACCGCTCCACCGACGTTTGTGCAACGTTTAATTGCCGCCCTGGCAACGCTGGCGAAGCAGCGGTGGCCCAGCGTTTAAGATTTCTGCGTTGGTCTAGCGGATTCAAGCGTCCACGAACTTGCGTCTAGCGGTGCCAAACTTTGACTGGGCGTTGGTGGAGCGGTGATAAACTTTGCCAGGGCGTAAAATTGTCCCTTTTTCAACGCTCGCAATATTTTGAGCAGCTCAAAACTTTTGGAGCGTTAGGATGGCCACTCGAGAAACATCCGCGTTGGCCGAGCGTTTACAGCGTTGCTTTAACGGATGCCAACTTTTGTTAAACGGTGGTGAACGTTTACGAGCGTTGATGATTTTTTCAACGTTCAAGGAACGCTCCAGCAACGTTTAGGCGGTGTGACCGGGCCTTTAGGCATTTAAAGGCACTACGTTACCCAATATTATCAAAATGTGATATGTGAAACTTTTTATTTCAAAAAGTGATTTTTGAAAGACCTTTTTGTTCGAAAAGTCATGAATATGTTTTAAGCTCAATTTTAAAGGTAACACATCTTTTGATAAGCGATAACTCACACCAACGCATAGCTTTCATTTTCACGTTTTTTTCGGTGGAATTAGAAAATTGGTTGATAAAAAAGTGAGATATGAACTCATCCATGCATGAAAATAGTAATATCAAATTTAAACCATTATACATTCCTCTTTTCTACTGCTTAGACGATCAACTTTGGTTCATTTCGAACTTTTGGCATACATTACTAGTATTTAAAAAATATTCACATAGAAAAAATTATATTATATATAATAAAATACATGTAATGTTTCTTTATTCTATTTACGCGATGGTGTTTTGCACTGTTAAGTGAAACCTTTAGTGTTTAAAAATATTTGAGAAATAAAAAGCTGACATTTTAATTTTTTCAAAAATCTATAAACTATAGAATACCTCTTCAAGTCATGAACAATAGTAAATAACCAAAAACATATTTTCAAACTTTACATGGGGCCTTTAAGGTGTAATTCGTGGACTTAAAGCATGTAAAGGGAATTCTTTTTTATGGGTGGTTATCTTGTTAAATGGGATATATATGCAATCCCTCCTTTCCTATAGAGTAGGCGGTACATAGATAAGACTGGACGATTCATTTTATGTGTCAGGCCTTGAAAAAAACATGATTTATTTTCTTTGATGCATTGAAAAATCGCTAATTAAGTAAATGAGTTTGAGTGATCTTTGGTTTTCACTTTGGACTTCACATGGTCTCTCCATGCATTTAAGATTACTTTAACTATCAATATGTTACTATAATTTCGTTCAAAGGGTATCTATAAGTTCTTGGTTCTGAAGATGATTTCCGATTCACCCTTGGAAATAGATAAACTCCGTGAATACATTTCTTCTTCTTATCTCTACAACCGAATTAACTCAGGCTTTTTGTTATTTATTTTTGAGCTCTTGAAGTGAACCATAATTCATGATCATGTCAGTAAGTTCCACCAGATTGAATACGTTAAGTCTTTACATCTGAGAAATACATTCCCTAGTGTATCCCCTATGACCATAATTAAATAGTAGAAATACTGATTACTTCCTAAGTTCCTACCCCAACCATGTAATTCGAATATCAATCAATCAATTGTAAAGACTATGGTCTCCACAATATAACGGTAGAAAAAGACATAGTAAATCAAACGTCACTATCAATTCAGACCTCCCAAGGGGTTGGTAGATTTTAAAACGATCCAAGAAAGATAGAACAAATCATAGGTAAAATTGATATGCAGAATCTTAAAGGAGAATCTAAAATATTTCTTGGTATCAATATTCCAGAGGCAATGAAAGACCCATCTGATTACGGGATGACTAAATCCTGTGACGATACTTATGACATCTGGAATGATAAAGAAACTACTATAGTAGGCAATACATCTTATGAAATGTTTAAAAAACAATTACAAACCTTTTTATCGTCAGTTGGATTTTTTCCAGTGAAAAATTTGACACTTTTGTCCTTTATGCTTTTCACATTTAATATTGATCCACTTTTGTTTTTCACTGATCCACTGTTTGTGATGTGTAGGTCTGCATGTTCGTTGACAAGAACAGTATCGGTATCGTCGACTATCGGAACATCAACTTCAATATCATCGGGGTTCGCACCTAGTTGATAATATTTGCCGCTTCTCCGCCGTGTGTCTTCAGCAAAGGGACTCACGACATTGCTAAGACGCCGCTTCACCTTTGCCTGCATTGATTCTCTCTCTTCCAGCTCCTGCATTTTTCTTTCTGTTATAGAAAACCTTTAATATCTCTTTAAATATTTATTCCGTAACTTTATTCCAGGCTTGAGCGTTACCAATCTTGTGATATACTACCTGCCTTGATCTGAGAATATCGTGTGTTAGTCTTAACTAAATATTAAGTGTCTTGCAGAAGAAAAGTCTTGCGGTAGGGTAGCGATAAGTAAAAAAGAATATCCATGAACGTAGATCCGCCAGTTAAAGAACTAATCATTCTTTGCTCGCCAGACCAGACTTTGCATGTGAGTTGTACTTATCGCCTTGAGAGCAAACTCAAAACAAAACATCTACTGTCTTCAAATTATACACTATAGTTGCGCAAAATCTGTTTTCCTAAACTTAGTTACGTATGTCATTTGTGGAATGAGAAACCATTTGCTAGCATAAATTGGCCAATTATTATCATCACCGAGCGCCAATCAAAGTAATAATTATGTTACCAGAATAACAGATTTCTGTTTAGCTCAAATGTGTTAGTTTCTGTGGTTGAGATCTAACATCTGTGAACAAGATACTTAACATCGTGTGATGCAATCTTTAGAGATTTTTAAAGGGCGTCCAAGCTAACTACGGTACATTTGAAACGCCGTGTAGATATTGGATCATTTCAAAACGGGTGTTAACGACTTCGCAACTGCAATTGATTTATATTTCAAGCCTTGCATTTTTACACATGTTGTCACTTATGTATTGTTACATCATACTGAGTTTTTTCTCTGCAACCCTAGAACTGATAATGCAATTGGTTCAGATCCAAATGGAACTGAAAACACACCATTACCCTACTATCACACCAAACTAGTTCTCACTGCGTTCTCGAAAACGGGCTTCAACTGTATACGAACGGACTGGACCTACTAAGAACCGTTTGGGATCTATTTACAAACTTCATCGCACGTACTCGAACGGGTAGGTCCTCTAGAACTTAGACAATGCTCAAAATGTTATCGTGGTCGTCACGTTCTACAATTAGAACGAGTGACAACGTACTAACGACGAGCTGGACGTACTACGAACGGAACCGTCGTACTTCAATCCTACTAGGGACGTTTTAACAACGAGTTGAACTGTCTGCGGACGTGTTGAGAACAAGGTAGAACTAATTGCAAACGGGTTTAAACTGATTAAGAACGTATTTATCACTGCTTATGAACGAGTTAGCAAAAATATAGCTATCACACCAAACAAGTTGCCACTGCGTTCTTCAAAACTGGTCTTAAACTGTGTGCGAACGGAATGAACGTAGCTGCAACTTTCTAAGGTCTATTTACGAACTTTATGAACGTTCTCAGACGGGAATGTGATTTTAGAATTTTGAATCGATTCAAAATTCGATGACGACCATACCGTTCTGTAATCAGGTCATGTTGACCTTCTAGACTAAGGGACGCGTTCTGCCACGTTGCACTCCGACGTGGTGCGACCTGAACGAACTGCGAACGAGATGGACGTATTGAAGACTGTTTAAGAACGAAGAAGCTAATTATTTCAGACATATTTCCCGACCACAGCCAGATTGAGCCCGTTTGACGACGTTTTCGTAGGACTGGCAAGAACGGGTAAGAACTAGTTTGGTGTGATAGGGGGGTTAGATATCCATACCCAAAAATTAATGAATTCTTGTAAATACCAGTTTCCTGAAACTGTAAATTCCAATTTGAAATCAAGAAAACACAATGATATGGTTATTGGGTGTGCAAATGTAAGGAGCTTGCCTCATAATTTTTCAAAATTTACCAATTTAAATATTTTGACTGATAATCAATTTGACATATTTGGTGTTACTGAAACTTGGCTTAAAGAGAGCAATGAATCAGATTTCAACATACACGGATTTAACTCTGAATTTATTTCTAGAACTGCAAGAACAGGTGGTGGAGTTGGTATTTATATTAAGAAAAATATTGTATATAAAACAAGAGATGATTTGATTATAAGAAATGATTATGATATGCAGGCAATAACTATTGAAATTAATAAGGAGAATGATAGAAATACTTTAATAACAGTTGTTTACAAACCTCCTGATGTCGATCTTGAAATATTTAATCGCGAATTAAGCCAATTTTTAGGAATACTTTCACAAGAAAACAAAGATATTTTTCTTATGGGTGATTTTAATATCAATTTACTTAACACAGATCATGCAGGAACGGACAATTTTTTGAACACTTTGTATTCCTTTAACCTTTATCCGACCATTTATAGACCTACTCGAGTAACATCAACAACAGCCACACTTATAGATAATATTTTTACAAACTCATTAAACATTAACAAATCTGGAATTATAATGACTGATATTTCAGATCATTTTCCTATTTTTGCAGTAACAGATTTGCCACTTAATTTACAAATTACAGAAAAAATTCATTTTCGTTTAATGAAAAAACAAAATCATGATGACTTTAAATCAAAGATAGAAAACATTAATTTTGATGATGTATTAAAGTGTACAGATGTGAACATTGGGTATGACCTATTTATTCAGAAAATTTTGATAGTTTACAATGAATGCTTCCCATATATGAATAGAAATATGACATATAGATTTAACAATAAAAAACCATGGCTAACTGAAGGTATAATTACATCAATTAAACAAAAAAAAAACTCTATGTAAAATCTATTAAGCATCCAACTTCAGCAAAAATCAATGAATATAAATCTTTTAAACGCATTTTAAGGCAAGTAATACGAAATTCGGAAAGACTTTACTATAAACGCAAGTTCAACAGTTGTTCGGGTAATCTAAAGGAAACATGGAAAAACATTAATGAAATTCTTAACAGAGACAAACGTTCAAATCTGACAAACAAGGAATTTATTTATGATAATAAGCTGATTAAAGACCATAAACAAATTGCTAATCTTTTTAATGATTATTTTACCGAAGTAGGACCTAATCTTGCAAATAATATAAAAAATGCTAATTTTTCCCCAAAATATTACTTAAGCAAATTGACAGATTCATTCAATCAAAGTATATTTTTAAGACGCGTAACAGATAAAGAAGTCAAAAAATTATTGATAATTTAAAAGATTCAGCAGCAGGGTATGACGAAATTAAACCAATAACAGTTAAGAATTCAAATGACATATTCACTCCTCCTTTGCTCCATTTGACCAATTTATCTCTCTCGACTGGTGTCTTTCCAGATCAATTGAAAATAGCCAAAATTATTCCAATCTTCAAAAAGAATGATCAAAGATACTTTAGTAATTATAGGCCGATATCACTTTTATCAGTTTTTTCTAAAATATTTGAGAAAATTATGTATAATAGAGTTGTTGAGTTCGTTGAAAAATTCAAAATAATCTGTATCAATCAATTCGGATTTCGAAGGAATCGATCTACTTGTTTAGCTATTTTAACTTTCCTAGAAAACCTAAGGAAAGCTATGGAGAATAAACATTACAGTTTAGGGATCTTTTTGGATTTAAGTAAAGCCTTTGATACGGTTAACCATGATATTCTACTTACTAAATTAAATTTTTACGGCTTCCAGGGTAAATCCTTGGATTGGTTCAAAAGTTATCTTAGTAACAGAAAGCAAACTACTTTTTTTGAACATGAATACTCGGATATGAAAACAATACAATGTGGTGTCCCTCAGGGATCCATTTTAGGCCCCGTACTTTTCATCCTTTACATAAATGACCTAATCTCTACTAGCAATTTATTCAAATATGTAATTTTTGCTGATGATACAAATATTCTTTGCTCTGACAAAAATATTTATTCCTTAATTGATATAGTGAATAATGAATTAAAAACTGTAGATGATTGGTTCTGTGCTAATAAACTCTCATTGAACATTGATAAAACCAACTTTATGGTCTTTACAACTTCACAAAATAGGGTACCAGATAATATTTCAATCAAAATTAGAGACTCTTACATTATTCGTGTTTTTTCAACAAATTTTCTTGGCGTTATAATTGACCAAAATTTAAATTGGAAAGAACATATTCGAAAAATTGCACTAAAAATTTCAAAAACCATAGGTACTCTATTTCGAATAAAACATAAACTCAGTATCAAATCATTATTAAATATCTATTACTCACTTATTTATTCACACCTACAATATTGCATCCCAGCTTGGGGTGGGACAGGAAAAACACATATTGATATCTTATTGAAGCTGCAGAAAAGATTTGCCCGCTTAGTTACTAATAGTGAATATAATAAAGCACCATCATCACCTTTATTTCAACAACTAAATATACTGAAAATAAATGATATTTATAAACTCAATGTTCTTATCTTTACTTACAAATGCATCAAACGTCCATACAATTTTCCGAATGACTTATTTTGCAATTATTTTCAAGCAAATCAGCAGGTACACGACCACAATACAAGACAGACTGACAATCTTCATATTTCCAAATTTAGAACCAACTATGGCAAACGAAGTATTAAAACTCAAGGGGGAATAATCTGGAATTCAACTCCAGATGTTATCAAAAATTCAAAAACCATTTTTATTTTTAAGCGAGCCTTCAAAAGACATGTAATTAGTCTCTATGATTAGTACCCTGTACAAATTTTTAACAGATGCACCTTTTTCCATTTAGCTATTCTACATCATTAAAATGTTTTATTACATCTTTTATAATGTACATCATTTTTATTTTTATTTGTTTCCCAGTTTGGCTTACATAATTTATACTTTGAGACACTTTGTAACATCAATAATAAATGTAACTAACAATATGCCATTTTTAAATATTTTAGCTTGTGATAAGACATACACCCACTAGGGTGTCATTATCACTTATATGTATATATGTTTATATGATTTTAATAAATAAAAAAAATAAAAATAAAAAACTTTCTTGACATACGCGCTAACTCACAAAAAAATAGTTTGAAAGGGTTATATTTGGGAGAATAGACCAAATTGTTCTATAAATGGTTAATATGCACTACCCCAAATACTGTTAGATATGAACAATAACGTCATTAATGTAATCGGACTATCTTTAACTTTATTGAGTAAAATGATGCATCTAACAAAGTACTTTCATTTCATATAAGCTAAACCTTAAACGCACCATTAACCAATCTATGACAAACGTCCTGTGTCCCAAGAGGTTTGACATTTTGCACGCTCATTTTCAATTTCCCAATGCCCTTCCGACTTAGTTATTGTCACTCCCATTGCTCTATGAATTATATAATTACATGAGCTTTAAGAGAATTTATATGCCACATAATCCACCATAACCATGAGGTCGTGGGTTCGAGACGCGTGAACCTCTTGCGTTTATTCATCTATATCTCGTAGTTATCGTCTACTGTCATTTTGATAAGTATTTTACAGG